TAGACTGCTGTTCTCTTTAATTATTGCTTGCAGCGCTTCGATATCCGAGATCTGTGGTCATCTACTACTAAATTCATCATCGAGAGACAAATTTCCAGACTTGAAGTTTTGAAAGCAATGCCTTGCAGTACGTTTATTCACAATATTATTCCCAAATGCTGAACATAATCGGTGACTTTATAGAGTTTGTGATAAGCCCACTATTGATGTCGTAAAGCAAACGACACCGATGGAATTACTTGGACACTTCCAATTGTCTTCCTCGCTACTGTACAAGTTGCAATTGATGAAAGCACGTGATGGACCTTCTTTGGTAACTACTGTTATTTCTACTCTCGATCGACAGGTTTTTAAACCACCTGATACAACAATTTGATGCATTCTATTTGATATGATGCATTCCATTTGACATTAATAACATTTTTGGTAGAAGAAACCTATAATTCTGGTTAATAAAATACTAAGATACGATATTTAAACTATTCATTTGTTAATTTTTTCTTTCATATAGTAACGGTTTAATGGACATTTTGATTTTCAGAATGATAGTTTTTCTTAAACCTGAAAAGTTTCAAAAACTTACACGTGTTATAAAACCAAAATCATTACCAAATCGCTTCGGTAAAGATAACAAAGCTTTTTGGCGTTCCTTTAGAAACACGGTAAATTTTAATTATATTCTAGCAGTTATAACCAGGCATTATTTTTCTCAGTGTATTTCCAATTGATTCAATGACAGTGACAAAACAAAAGCGAAAAGAACTGTATTGGTCACCTTATATGATTCAATTTATATTGTACTATGATATCTTGTATAGATACCCCAAGATTTGTTGTTTGTTCTTCATAAAATTTCTGTTCATAAATACTCGAGCTGAAATTCTTACACTTTTAAAATTTAATTTCTAAAATTTTTATTGTTCAAGTTGCTACATATTTTAGTGTATTTTCTGTCGACTTTATGAAGATGTAATGCATTTTAAAGCGTTTCTTTTTTGAAAATATCAATGAAGAAGAATCACTATGAAAATTTTAACGACTTTGTTAAAAAGACGAAAATTGAGTGTTTGACGAAGAATGAAATGTGGAAGTGAAACATTTTTCATTATTCCTCAATAAATTACTAAAAATGAGAGCAGATGTTAAAAAAGATAATAAGACTTTTAAGTTTAAAAAATTATTAGCATTAGAACAATCATGAAAATTTTTTATGTACAATTCTATATCAGTCAAGTCAACATCCAACATAAAAAAGTAATATTTTGGAATTTCATTATTTGATAACAGTTGATAAAATTTATCGCTGTACGAAACAAAAGGAGAACCTAAAGTGAATTATCAACTACGTCTCATGATCTTTATCATGACTTTGAGTATTGCGAAAACAAGAAAGGGGAATCCCTATATCAAAATTCGAAATTAAATTAAAATAAATTAGTTCCATACTTTTAATATTATAATTTTGTATTCCAAAACTAAAATAGGGAGTAAGTAGAAAAAAAAATTAGATTTGAATTTAAGTAAATTAGCTTTAAGAATTATTTTGTTAATAAAAAGGATTTTCTGACATAATATCTCAGACATTGCCTTTGGAGGTTATTAATAAAATGGGACAGGGAGGGGAATTTACGTTGAAATTCCCGAAGACACAGATTTTCTAAGTCAACGTGACCCAGACTTCTGTTCTGTTTTCAGAAGCGAAATTCTTGCAATAGCTAAAGGTCTTGAGAGTATTCCAAAAAAAAATTATAACCTTTGGATGCAGACTGATAGCTGCAGTACAGTGCAACATCTTAATAATTGAACCCACAAGGAGGACAAGACCAGAATCTCTACCATCTGTACCACCAAACCTGTACCTCACCAGCAGCCACTTAATGAGTCTTCGTTTCTCTGAGGGTATAAAAACTTTCCCCCTTTTGCCTCAACTGCTAGCAACACCAGGCGTCACTTGAGCACACATTAGACTGTTTGGGACTCATGCGTTAGGAAAGTCATTCATCTTCTATTCCTGCATATGATTTTTTTAATGTTAAGGGATTCTTAGGTCTGGTCTGACTCCGTTAGATCAGATGGGAGCTAAGCAACAAATACGTCAGCAAGAATTATCCCTTGTCCCATTTTTTTGTGAAGGTATTGCTTAAAATTTTATCCTTATCATTGTTTTCAGACAATACTTTCACAAAACTTTACAGAAGGTATTGTTCACTCAGATTTTGGGGATATTAATTTAGTCCTGGATTTCAGGACGAAGGTTTTAAATTCACTTAAAATGAAATGTATTCACTTTTTAAATGGAAAAAAAATATTAAGTTTAAATATGATATCTTCAGATGACAAAATGAAAATAATAATAATAGTAATAATAATTTTCGATTTGTTGATCAAAGTTTTTCATATTGTGTTGCTCATTAAGTGGTATAAGGAAATTAATTATATCTCATTAAATTAGTGCTAAGCTATTAATATGAAGTTTGACATACCATACTGTCCTTGTGAATAAACAAGAATTTTCTTATAAATTTTATTTTTCTTCCGTGAGTAAAAGTATTAGTATTTTATTAAATGTACTTATCTTATAGTTTGATCAACTCAATAGTTTGACATAGTTTGATTATTTATAAACTCAAAAAGCAGTTACACATGGCTTTCATTTTTGAAATTTTAAGGCTTGCCAAATTAAATTTATGTGATATCGATCTTACCGAGTTACAAAGNGAATCTATTCTTCTAGTTCCAAGTTTGAACTCAAAAAATTATGTAAATAAATTATAAATAACTAATTATTCATAATATTATACACCTAAAGTTATAAATTATATATTTAATATTTGACATAATGTTTGTTATTTTGTGAAACTTTAGTTGAGGGTTTTAAATTTCCTCCAAATTAACTGATACAGCGCGATTGAGCGATCAGCGGAGTGGAATGGCAGAGTGCGCCGCGGTGCAGCGTTTCGCGAAAAAAGCTATAACTTTTTATGGAATTGCGATCCATTTTTTTTTTAAAAGCCATTTTGTTCAGAATAGAATTTACTTTAAAATGGGTTTTGTTTGAACTTTGTACGACATTAACAACATTTTTGTTTTTCATTTTACAACTTAGTTTTGCAATAAAAATTAAATTTTTTAAATATTTGTTTTATTATATTTATTTCATCAAAAACTTCAATTATTTCCGCATAAAATGAGATACATTTTTTTAAATTCCAATCATTCTATCCTTAGATATATACTTTTTAATTAAAAAGGGCTTTAAAATTTAATTGCTAATATCTTGCAAAATAAATTAAATAAAAAAAATATCGTTTTGGGCTATTGTTTTGTATAATATATACTTTTTAAAAAACATCAAAAAATGTAAAAATTATGATATCAAATTTTGGGTGTTACCGCTATTAAAATTTTGACTCTTTTCTTAACCACATTTGAATGTGTTGTAGACGCTTTTGATCAGGCAGATATCAATGTATATTCAATGAATAAAAAATATTTTTTTAAATAACTAATATTCTCAAAATATTTCGATTCTAACTATGATTTATACGAAAATACAACTAGATATTACAAACTTGGTGGAGGTATTTAAATCTGCATTTATTTAATGTTGTCAAGTTAGGGTGAAAAAGTACATAAGTATCTGAAATGAAGTGCATAAGTATAATCTGAAAACCTCCTTATTGTGTATATGGTGCAAGAAATATTTTAAACGGAAATTTGAGTTCAATGCATTGTATTAGCCTGACAATTATTAGCAATTCATAACTTTGTCAAGAGTCAGAATTATTTTTTCATATTTTTAAAATATTTAAATATTTTCCATTTCTAGTGTTAAGAAAACATAGCTTGATATTACAACTGTATTGAAAGTATTTATCAGCTTCAACAATGATGTTAAGTTAAGTTGAAATGATGTACATACAGTGTTCAGGATAAAAACAGATCACTCTCAATAATATTTGATCTAATGATCTGACTTTAGCGTTTTAGGACTCAATCTTAAAGGTATAAGAGGTAAATTTACATACCAATCAATTAGATCAGATGAAATTTTAGTTTATGAAAAAGACACAAAATCGTGCTTTCTCTAAATAAACTTACATTTTTTGTCGACGGATTCCAATTCATGCTTCCCAAAATACAGTGCGTAGGCGATGATAATATCCGAATCTATAGAAAAAAGGTAAATATGATTATTCGATAAAAGATATTCATGGCAATCCATTTTTATTTTTTTACTTTGTGCACTGTACAGAAGTATTTTCTATAAAATTTTTAACAAAGCATATGGTGCAAAAAATTATACCATGAATAACTTTCTCACATACTAATACAGAAAATTTAGGACATGGAATAAATTAGAGTTATGCTTCAATTATAAAATCTACAGAGGCTTGATTAAATTGCGAAATCTACAGACATAAAATTGTAACAACCATACTTTATTTATTTTTTATGAACTTTTAAATCTTTCAAAACTAGAGGGGTATCTGGAATTCTTCAAGTATCATGATAATTGTTTTGTTCTTCAATTTAAAACAGTTAACAATACCTCAAAAGATCAAATGATTTCCTCAAACTATAATCTTTTATAACAAATGAGTAATTTCCTTCATATAAATTTACGATCGGTAAATAATATGTTAGGTATAAAAATTAATATTTTTTAAAAAATTTCATTTCTTTTCTGAGCAAAATGAAAATAAAAATCAATAAAAAAATCAAATTGAAGAAAATTGAAATATAACTAAAAAAGAATTGAAAAATGAAAATGAATATGACGATTTTCTAAGAAGATTTTAATGTTAATAAATAAAAATGGATAATTTAGAATAAAGGTTTGAACTGAAATTTAACATGCAATATTTTCCAAATCCTTCCAAACTTTGGAAGGATTCCAAAGATAGAAGGGACTTCCCATCTTCCTTCCAAAAATAGAAGGGACAGAGATAATAATATGGTGATGAAAACAATTGTTGTTTGTATGATTATTTTTTTACAGATAATTCTTTCGTAATAAATAAAAGTAATTACCATCATCATCAAATTTCATTTGATTTTAAAAACCAAGACTTTAATCACACAGTTTTTACTCTGTGTTCGGTTTCGAAATATTTGTGTTCGACAAATTCGAGTAGGTATTTGTTTCGTACTGATTTCGTTTAAGAATGAAATAATTCTTAATGGTTATTTAATAATTATAATCTGTTACTGTAAGTTAAAATTAAATGTAGTTTAATTTTAAAATGATTGATTCTTAGTAAAAAGCATTGAGTATTGTATATAATTATGACCAAAGAAAAAATGGTATTAATAAATATGGAATTTAGATCATATTCAGTTTTATTTGAAAAGCTTTGTTTAAAACAGAATTGTTAGGCTTCAATTTAATTTTATTTTCTTATAGAAAGTTAAAAAAGCAAAAACTTATTATTTTTCTTAATTATCTCTCTTTTCATCTTATTGTTTTCATCTTTATTGTGATATATATATATATATATATATAGGGTNATATATACACACACAGTGAAACCTGTCTGTAGCGACCACTTTCCGTTCCACAGTAAAATGGTCGTAGATGGAGGTTGGTCGTTCTTAGAGGTTACATCCATTGACTTCAAAATTGTTATCAAAGGTACATAATTTTTCGCATACGATTCTATTTCTAGTCATGCGACATTTTCTTTTCGCGAAAATGCCTCTTCTGCTGGCGTCATGAAAAGCTGCATCTCTGAATAAAACTTAAAACCTATAGAAATGAATCCAACTGATATAATTATGTGGAAAAACTAATTTACCAATTATGAATGTTAAAACTATTTCAAATATGCAAACACTTATATTTTTTGTTTAAGTTTGCATTTAATTTTATATAATAACAATCAGTTAGCTTTAAAAGATGAGAAGAGATTTGTTTGAGATCCTAGTTTTGTTTTCCGAAATAGCTTTTTATTTCTAATTTAACTTTCATCTCTAAAAGTAAATCATTAATAGCATCATCTTTAGTGCACTCTGATTGCAACATGAGGTTGTGTGGTTAAAAGAGCTTTCTAAATTAGAATTTCGCCCAAATATTTTAAATATATTTTAATCTGTTTATTTGTTTTGTATTCTTTTTGTTGCTGTAATATTTTTCATGTTTCCCTATCTGACCTTTTCGAAAATTTGTTTAAATGTTTATATATACAGTTTAAGGAATATTTTAGCTAACGCAAATCTACCCAATTGTTTCACTGTTTTGTACACAACATACCATAAATGATAGCAGTTAAACTATTAGTTCTATTAGCTACTTAAGTTTCTTCATTTTTGTACAAAATTATCAAAATATGGCATTGATATCTTTAATTTAATAAACTATTTGACACAAAATGCTTTTTAATTATTTTAAGTTAACAAAATAAAATTTCAGCATTAAAATTTTCGTAAAATTTATTGGTCTCCTTAAAACAAAAATGAAATAACTTTTGGGGTAGTAATAATGGAAAAAAAATAGAAAGAAAATAGATAAATTAACTTTATATATTCCTGCATATATGTTTCCGCAGCATGTAGAGCAAGCCGTATGAAATATTTTACAATAAACTTAATAGTTAATAATGATAGAACTAATAATAAGTTATTAGTTTTTATTTTATTTTACCATCCAACTTCTACATTCCTCTGTATGTCCATGCGATTTCAAGTTTCAATCTGAAAGTTTTTGAACAGCAAAACGGAATATTACAGTAAGTTTAACACCTAAAGCAACGGCGGTGCTTATTATTTTTTAATACCGATACTCACCTCGTTATTGATATAGAAAATAAATTGGGAAAGCCAGAAACAGTGGATAAAGTTTTATCTTCTTAGTACGATATGTCAAAAGAGAGAGATGACAAAAAAATGAACAAAATAAAGAAAAGAAAATTCTGAGGCGTTGTAATAATTTTTTCGGTTCAATTTATAAAATCTTCTATCAAGACGGAGAAAGAAAATCTGGTAAGTTTAACGTACTGTAATGACATCTTTGGCAGGCCAAAAAAAAAAAAAAANAAAAAAAAAAAAAAAAAAAAAAAAAAAAAAAAAAAAAAAAAAAAACATGATTCTGGCAATGAAAAATAAAATATATGCTTTAAACTATTTATTTGGTAATTTTTCTGTTCACATAATAATGGTTTTCTAGAAATTCTGGTATTCAGAATTATAGCTCTTATTGCCAGACATTTAGCAAAAAATACGAAATTGATAAGTAAATTTAACTTAATAATATTTTTATCTCCTTCTTTAAATTATCATAATAAAATAACCAAATTTTACCACATGTACCAAATTTTATCCCATATTAGAACACCATATTTTATTATTTATTTTTTCAAAATCATTACTGAAGCACGCCTTTAAAAATTATTGAGCTTTTTGGTATTTCTAAGCATGACAAAATTTACCACATTCTGATAGTTTTGACCGCACTTTTCTTCTCAGGGAATAAGGACAAGAAACATTTAAAACTATTTCTTATTAGAAAAACGCATTTAATCGAACAGTATTTATTGGGTGACAAAGATTTAAAATAAAATTCAATATAAATATGAAGATTTAAAATGCAAGTACTGTAATTTATTGCTTTATTTTAAAAATTAAATCAATGCTATATTGTTACTAAAATTGTCACATATTTATTACGATTTTAAAGACAAAGAATTTTTGAACGCTATTAATAGCTAAGCATTTATATTACTTAGTACTACTTTCAATAATTACTACTTACTAATTATTTTATTTTAATTTAATCAACGTAAAAAAATATCCGCAGTTTTAACCTCAGCTTTAAAACACTTTTTTCTTTATTACGCTTAAAGAGAACATTCAAGGCTCATCAATTCAAAATAGAAATAGATATTTATCTGTTAATTATTTTTACTGATGTTATTTGATAATACTTTTTTAAACCTATACATTTTCCATCTGTTTTTTATCTATAAAATATTCCAATAGAAATTTTAACAGTAATGAAACTTTTGCTTTGTTTTTTAGGAAAAAAATATTTTTACATAGTCAAATTAAATTTTAAGAAATACACTAAAACTATATTTTATGCTTGTGATTTCTAAAAGATTGTGGATGTAAAAACTTATTATATATTCTCTACTTTTCAATTGACAATATGTATACAAAGAGAGTATTCATATACATTCGATAAATCAATACTGCTGACACTTTCAAATTTTTTTTCTTAATAGGAATGTTAGAGGATAATCTTCCCTCGAAAGCTGAAGACAAAAGATCTTTATTTTACTCTGCAACTGCCATAAGTGATGATGAATTAAATCAGAAAGGAGGTAAATGGTTATTGTTTGTTAATAACGATCTGAGAGAATTGGATCGGAGATGGGTTGCATTGCAAAATTTATGCAAAAATGGAATTCTAGCTGCAATTAAATCGTCCACCATAGTCTGTGAGGTTCCTCATGTAACTATGTGCTTTACTACTGATTCTAACAATCAAGAAGAGGTTAAATACGCAGCAGATAAAATCAGAATATTAGTAGACTATAAATTTTCAATGTTTTATAAGGCTTCTAAATTATCTACGGGTCTAAATGGAGAATTGGAGGAAAAGGAAATGTACTTGTATGAGCACACAGTGAACGGAGAGTTCTTCAAAATAGGTGAGTATAAGCAAACATAATTGTATATGTTGCGTGCTACTGTGTTTATTACCATTATGTTTATTACTTAGGTAGGATGAAAGAGCTTGAAATTGCATTCATAATTTCACGCATTCCTTCTTAGAGTATTACATCGAAAAATTTACTCTAAAAATTACTTTTTCCATTCGTCGTCACAATAATCTAACGTATTGGACCGTTTGATTCCTGGGTGACTGAAACATTTTTGTCAATTACCGATTTCCTGTAAAATATAATGTATAGTCGAATAAATTTGAAAACAAAATCATAATTTTTTTTACTCGCAATCGTTGAGATTTAAATCAGTCCATTTTTTGAGTTCATAAGTTAACGGCTTACTCAAAATTCTGGTTTTGAAAATTATAGTTCTTATTACTCCCTATTTATTAAATAGTACAAAACTAATAAAATAAATTAAACTGAATAAATGGTTCTTATGCCATGCTCTAAGGTAAAATATCCGAATTTCATCACATAATTTAAAATCACATTTTACTGTTAATTTTACTTAAATTATTACTAAAGTTCATAGGCAAAAGTTGCCGAGCCATTGATGCTCCATGCACTGTAAAAACGTCCAGATCAAATTACGGTATTAAGATACGGTATTACAATTGGTAATAATATCGACACTTTGGATGCATTATCCGTAAAATCTATTTTCACCGTAAAATATTATACCGTAATATTGATTTATTTAGATTGATTCAGTGATTTTATAGTAACTATTACTGTGAAAATTACGGTATATTAGACTTTTTGTTCCGTATCACGTTCCGGTAAAAATGGTTTTTTTAAGCGGCACCCTGCGTGCTGGTACATTCTACCATAATTTGATCTGGAATTTTTTACAGTGCAAAACATGAAGTACTATAAATTGTAACATATTCTGGTAGTTCAGACAAAAAAATTTTTGCAGTGTAATATTACTTTCAGAAATTATAATTTTGCATTGGTTACATCATTAATATGAATACAATTCTTATCTTTAGATATTTAAAAATGAGATATTTCCAAAATACATATTTTCAAAATGTTTTTAATTTCTTGAGTCATGTGTGCTATTAAACAGTGGAATGGCCCAATACTTTGGAATTCTGTATATTTATTATTGATGCTGTCTGATTGTTTATCAGTTTAAGATATTTCTTCCTTATATTGAAAGTAACACAAATATTTTATCATTTAAATGGATATAAATGAATAAATATAACTATATTTGCCATAGAAAACCAGCTTTTATTTTTAATTTAATTTATTTTCTAACTAAAAAGTGCTCATTCGCTGAGTAAAACTTCTTGTAATATCATTATCTCCTTTCTCAAATTTAACCTCCATTTATATTTAATTTGACACTAAAGATCCTACTAGTTGTGAATGTATATTGTCATCTAAAAAAGATTATACGAAATAACTAAGTAAGTAACAAAAAAAAGATATTTTTTTAAAACATATTGTATACAAGAGAAAGGCAGTGGATGATACTACACAAAAAATGTGTTGGTGGTTGCTTTTTGCAGCTAGATTTTTCATGACGGTTAATATTGCAATTGAATATTTATAATATTAAAATTATGTTTCAGTAGGCACTGTTCAATGACACCCTCTTGTGTGGTTTTTGCTACTCTTCTAACACAGATCAATTACAACTACTTAGATGTATTTATGGTTTTTATAAATTATTAAATTATTAAATAATATTGTGTTATATATTCATTATCTATTTACATTCAATATTCCTTTTATATCTGTATTATACAATAATTATTTATATTCATTTGCCAATATATTCATATTCTATCAAAGGTTTTTGTGTTTTTTCTTGTTGCTTAAAATCACGAGTTAAATTTGATATGTGAATCTTTTCTTTTCAGAAATGGATCGCTTAAAGCCTTCAATGGTATTTTGGAAACCTAACATTTCATTTTACATAGGTAATTTAAATGGTCATTTATTCGAGAAATAATTTCTCTATTTTTGTTTTTTGTAATAAATCAGGTGAACTCAGGAAAAAGCATAAGCAGCTGTTAACGCAGGAGTGGGTTGAATATTGTGTTTAATAGCACCAAACTGAAAATCATGGCATTCTGTCTCAAACAAAAGCAACTATAACAATTATAATGTAATGAAAATAATTGGTGTAATAAACTATGTCTGACTTAAAGATCGAGTGAAAAGAAATCAAACAAAGAGCACTGGGATGCAGCATGGTTATGAAATTCATATATATCTGCAGAAAACAATCATTGTTTAACTAGAGAAGGAGAAATTTTGTCCTAATTGTCCTAATACTTAATGTATATACCGAAGAGCCACTACATTATGACCACCCTGCAAATAATATGTAGGACTACCTTTAGCCATCGCAACTACTAGCACCGCCGTGGCATTGATTCCACAAGGTGCTGATAGGTAATCTGAGGTATCTGCTTCCAAGCGCTCACCAACTGGTCCTGCAATTCCCTCACATTGCGAGGGGGTAGCGTGGCAGCACGAATTTGGTTTTCCAAGTAAGACCACAAATACTCTATTGGATTAAGGTCAGGTGAATTTGGGGGCCAAGACATGACTTGAAAGTCACTGAAATGTTCCTCGAACCAATTCATGACGATTCGATTCTTATGACATGGTGTATTATCCTGTTGGTAAACACCATCACCCGCAGGAAAAACTGTTGCCATGAATGGGTGAACCTGATCTGCAACTATGTTCAAGTAGCTTACAGACGTCAGGGATTGGCCTATGAGGATTATGGGTCCCTAATGTGCCCCATGAAAACATTGTTCCTGGGCGAGAAACCATGAAAACCTGGGTGAGCCCATTGTTATAGATGGAGGGTGGTCATAATGTAATGGCTCTTCGGT